GAGATTTCACTTCCTGTGTCCCAGAGAGCCTTATTAGAAACTGCAACCTTGGCCCCCCTCACTTCTCAAAAATTCCAAGAGATTTCGACTTAAGATAAGTGTTAACTTTTTGTTTGTTTGTAATTGTGCCATCTTGCTTTGAACAGCAATTATAGTGTGTGTTAGCATTTTAATGTTTAACAGGAATTTCCATTGAAAGTTATTTATATAAAAGTGGATTTAGTGTTTTGCAATCCAGTTACACTATTAATGAGAACTGCATTTATTTTATTCTTTTCTTGTTAAAGTATTACCCTCCCGAAGATACTAATTCTGCTTCATTTTTGTGAAGTGCCCAAATGTAAAGTTCTGTTCCACAGTATCTTACTCAAGGCTCCTGTCATAACACCCCTGTGAGACAAACATTATTATCTTAATTTTACAGGTGAGGATACCAAAACTCAGAAACTTTCAGTTACAAAACTAAACAAAAATGTGACTCAAGGGCTTTGACTCCCAATCCAATGGTCTTTGTACTTCACCCTGTACAACTTGTTCATATTAGTTGAGGTCTCAAATAAATTAAAAAATCTTAGTTTTCCTCAGTGTCCTAGTGGGCATAAAGATGCTTTGGAGGGCATAATGGACTTTCCATAAGTGGACGAGGCAGTGTAAAGAGCTAGGCCAGCCCTGCAAACAAAAGCCTGGAGAAATCAGGATTCCCAAAGAGAGAAAACCCCAGTGGGTGTATTTAAGTCATCTCAGCCATAAAGAAGCTGGGCCGGCAGCAGCAACTTATCCCACAGAGGAAAACCTTCATGGTGATAACTGGGCTTATCACAAAGGAAGAGTCTGTGGGTGGAGCATTGGAGTCTTCGAGACTGAGCGACATTCAGTGGCAGTAGAAGAAGTAATGACCCCATATTCAGTCAGGTTTAATAATCTAATGTTTACCAGATGATATGTGCGTTGCAATAGAGAACTGGAGAACTTTGCCATGATATTCTCCTAAATCTTGGGCTACTTCCCCAGCAGGCTTCACATCCTTAGTCGCTTTTTTCGTCTCTTTCCTGCCTGCTCACTCAAGCAGAATTCAGCTGTGAGATGGCTTCATAGCTTCACTCACCCCATGCAGGTAAATGTCTCCCAAGTTTTATCCCTAAACCCAGCTATGACCCTTTGGTCCCATAATTATCTACACAAGGGACCTGACCCATTACTACCTACCAACGGGAAGAGTGTTGGGATTTTTTCCCCCCAAATTCCACCTCCACCAGGACCACCCTCCCCAGGAAGATATCAGTGGAATCTGGGAGTATTAAAGGAGGAGAGATAGGAAAGACATTCCAGGCCAGTGAGGAAACTGACAAGAGCATAGAGATGAGAGCGCAGGGGTATGGGGAGCCATGAAGAGGCCGACCTGACAGGCATGGGGCTGGTGTTGGTGAGTAATAAGAGGGAAGAAGCCAACTGCCCAAGCTGGGACCTCAGAAGGAAGGGCCTGGGCTGGCAAAGGGAAGAGATTGGACTTGATCTAGTGAACAACTGAAAACAGATGACTGACAAAATAAGTTGTGTTAGGAAGATTAATCAGACTGTCTGGACCATAGGAAACGAACACAGAGACACACCCAGATGTTAAGAAACAAGGGAGGCACTAAGTGCCTGGACAAGACAAGGAGAGAAGAAATTAAGGAGAGTTTACTGACCGTGGTGACCAAAGAGAAAAAAGATAATAGAAAACGATTTGGAGTTTTGTGCGTCATTCCCTCCACTGTAAAAATACAGACACAAGATTAATACAGACCTGTTGAGTTGGAATCTCTGAGTAGGGGGGGCAGGTGTGTGTTTTCTAAAGACTCTGCAAGTTCAACGTGGGGAACCACCAGCCTGTGGAGCAAAGCAGACAGATTCCAGGCGGACTGCCTTTCAGTTAGTCTTCTCGGATTTCTCAGTCAGCGGGCTTAGCCCATTGCTAGGAGGTGTGATGGAACACGCAGGAGGCAGCAGCTAACGCTAGTGCAACACTTCTGAACACTGGCCTCCTAACTGAGGTTCTAACTACAAGAACAAGAATTCAGGAGAGGAGGGAGTGGACCATGGACTAGGGCATCAGCTGGAGAGCCCTTCCTAGAGGAACTGGGACATGGCCCAGACCTTGAAGAATGGCTGAGCTGTAGCTGCAGACAGACAGGTGGATCAGGGAGCTGGCGAAAGCAGACTAAGCATCATGCGGTATAGTTTTGAATGGGGAGCGTGGGTGCTACATTTAGGTAGCAGAGGAGGCCAGGTGATCCCCAGCCTCCCTCCAAGTTGCTCTTCTATATGAGGCCAGTGACCCTCATTGGGGCCACGGGCAAGCACATTTTTACCTTTGCTTTTCCCATCTCTCCCATTTGTAGCTGGCCCTCTTCAACCACATCCTAGCTTTTACTCTCTCATACTGTTTGTGAGCACACATTAAATTCATTTACACTAAGATATAATGACACATAATCCCTTATGTTAGCCTGGCATATTAATAAGCCTTTGTGTAGTGATGTCACTTGTAGAACCCTTACTTCATTCTCGTTATAGCCCTATGGAGTGGGGAAGTTAGAGATTGTCCCCATTTTATAGAGAAGGAAAAAAGGTTCAGAGAATCTAAACAGCCACTGCAAGATCACTAAGGGGAGAATTTCAATAGGGGACTTGAACACAGGTTTCTTTCTGCCACCCTGTTCCACATCTTGCTGCAGTATTTGCATTTCAACAGGGATCAGAGCCCTGTGCTGAAGGTAGGTGGCTCTGAGGACTTCAGACATCGACCCAGAGATAGGAGAAGATTGATTCTTTCAGTGGAGCCCTGAGTCATGCTACATAAGTTACTGCCTTTGCCTCCACATTACCTGCAAGTTGTGTGATCACAGGCAAGTTAGAGAAAATTGCCTGAGCTTCACTCTACCTGTTTTTGAAATGGAAATAACTGTATCTGCCTAGTACGATTCTTCTGACAATTTCCTGAAATACCACCTGGATAATGTCCTTGTCACACAGTCGGTCTCAACAAACCTCCTTTTCTCTCCCCCTTTTCTTCCCCATTTTATCTACACACAAGGCAGGCCATGCTAAGCTAGAACCCCAGCCTCACCCAGTCCCTACAAAGACGTTTCCTGTCGCCTCTCCTTTGCTTTTGCTCTTAGCCCTTCCTCTTCTCCGCTAAATCCCCGTGTCCAACCACACCAACCCTCCTTCGCTTCTCAAACTAGCCAAGCTTTCTCCCTGCGCAGTACTTTTGCACACACTGGTTAGTCTGGCTGAAACGCACCTTGCCCTCCTCCGGCCCTCCTTGGTCCTTGTGCTCCAGGCGTAAGCCCAAATGTCACTTCTTCAAGAAGGACGGAAGTAGCTTCCTCCTGTATTCTTTCTCACTGCATCCTGTACTTTTCCTCTGTTATTACAATTTGTAGGTACATGTGAATCCTACATTTACCGGTTTAGTTTCTGTCTTCTCCACGAGACTATAGCCTCCCACGTTGGCCACTATCTCTGGGGCACCCGGTACAGAATCTAAAACCTAAGTCACGTTCCATAAATATTTGTGGGCTGTGTGTTGGGTGAATGCTGCTCTTCTCTCTCCCTTTTGGGGTGACCTCCTACAGCCTCCTCAGCAAATCATATACTACATACCACCAAACAGCATTCCCATCGAGCCCACATACCTGACCATCTCCTTCATTTTCTTTTCCCAACAGTTATTCATACATTATCACGAATGAGGTGGTGTTCTCTGATTGTTTCATGATTCTCTAATCACATCGTCAGTTTTCCAAGGGCTAAAACTCTTTAAGGATCTTTTTTGGGATCCCCCATAAACCTAGTAGAATAGCTGGAAATGCTATCAGTGCTCAGTATTTCCTGATGAATGAGTGAATCAACCCATCAATCCTAGTATAATCCTTTTTTGTACAGAGAATATCTTCACTTAGCAAATAGGGAGAGACTATTGCATCAAAACAATCTCTAACCACGACCCATTGCTGTTGTCCCTCTTCTGGGGTTACCATTTTGACTTTGAATGCGAAGCAAACAATCTTATCTTGAAAGGGGGACTGGATTTATATTTAATAAGAGAGACTGAATTGGAAGCTTGCATTTTTTCCCAAAATTTAATAACAGCACTAGTAAAGCCTTACACTCCTCAGCTGGCCTTATTTCAGGTATAAGAGTACAGAGCTTCCGGGTAAGCTTCTGTCTTGATGTTAGAGCGAGGTCCATAACACCAACCCTGTTTAAATTCATTGAGAGCCAGGAGGGGGTCACATAGCAGGGCACCTAGTCAGAGCATGTTTTCAGAATCAGTCAGTCCAATCCAGGCCTGGGCAGAGGAGATGAAGGGAAACATCTGGTTACTGAGAGCCACTGTCCCCAAACATTTGAGATCCTGATAGCTACCACTGATGACCTCAGTTAGCAAAGACATAGCTTTTGATCTTACCCCCTTCCTCCGCTCACAACTAGAACGAAACGAAACAAAAAACATATCAGTAAAGCATGTCATTGTTATGCCCCAAATACTAACTTACTGAAGGGGGATTTCAATTGCTACCTTCATCCCATTATACTGAAGTAGAACCTTTAGTTTACTGGTTGCCCGGCTGCTAAACCTCAGGTTGCTCCGTTGCTCATTTTATCAGTATTCTTTGAATGACTAACAACAAAAACATATATATATTTACATATATATGCATTTAAAATTATATATGCATTTTAGTGTACTTTGACAGTTGCCCAGCAAGTTCTGTCTAGTTAGTGTCTTCCCTCTGGTTTAGCATTTGATCTTATAACACAGAGCAGGGAAAGGTAGGTAAGTTTTGCTAAATAGCTGTTGTCCATGAACGCTGTCAAGGCTGGTATGACATCTGTTCTTTGTGTGACATCACTTTATCCCCTGTATTCCCACCCCTGCTTGGCTTTGTGACAATCAACAGAGCCAGTAAGAGATGACTGCTGATGAGTCCCCTTCTATCCCCATCTCTCAGGCTGCAGAAGTCCTGAAGGTTGATGGAGGGCCATGCTATTCAAACAGCAGGCATGGCTGAGACAGAAGCTCCTGGTGCTGGGAAGCCTTGCCGTTGGGAGTCTCCTGTATCTAGTCGCCAGAGTTGGGAGCTTGGATAGGTAGGTGATTAAACACATACTTATGCCTGTATGACTTTAAATGTCTCTTGATTTCAACTTCCTTAGGACATAATTTTAAATCTATCCATTTGTTTTCCTCCTTCAAGATTCCCAAGAAGCATGTTTTTCTGCAGTATTGATTTTGATTTATTGAGCCTTTAAAAGAAAGAGATCCAAGTTGCTCAAACCAAGGTGTTCATCAAGATCCATTTGTATTCTGTGTGTGTTGTTTGCTTTCAGAGAAGGGATAAAGCCATGTACAGTAAAAATGTCATTTACTATAGCTCTGTGTGCATCTGGTTGTTGACCTCTAGCCGTAGCAAAATAGTGATGATGTATTTATGTATCTACATTTTGAACTTTATAAGTGGGCAATTAATGTGCTACCAAGAGAGTTAAAATTATGTATGAGACTGTAAAGGAGCTCATCAGGTTTGGAATCCATTGCCCTGGAAGGATGGCTGCAGGGGGAGTTTTAACTATGTTAATTAGCTCTGGTTTCCAGGAGCTGAACATACCAGACAAGGAGTCTGTCGCTCAGAGTAATGGCCCAGAAAGCAGTGGAAAGTTCACAGAGAGGAAATTTACAGAGCTAGTGTTTGGCTCTAAATAAGCCAACAGTTGAGAGAGGTACTAGACCTGCAGAAGTCCAGCAGTGTCACCTGGCTTCAGCTTGAATGCCACTGGACTGTCCCACATCCGGTATGATTAGAAAGGGTAGAGAAGTTAATTTCTGAAATTTGAAGCTTCCTTTTTTGCCCTTTAAAATTAATTCTTGCTCTTGAAAAACTGATGTATGCTCCCCATGAATTCAATTCCCATTTTCTATAAAAGTGTAGCCACACATTAAAATAAAAATATCTTCCTTACAGTTTTTCTTTTCTAATCTATAGATCTTATCACAGAAATATTTAACAAATAATATAACAGTGGTCTTTGCTTTCCTTCAGCCAGTATTAATTTTGACTGATAAAATGAACCCCTTTAATGCTTTTCAATTCAAAATTCCTAAGTAAACTTCCTACTCACTATGGGAAACGGTATAACCCAGAGCTTATCACTGACTCCGAGTAGTTCCCTAAAGTAGGACTTGTTATTAGTGAAGAGCCTTGAGGTGGTACCATTGTCCTATGTCCATAATGGAACTTTTATATCAAGTTCTTCCCAATACCTTTAGTTTGCTTCTAATCATTTGCTTTATTGAGTAATTGATCTAACAATCATTAACATATTAGTTATTTAGTTGATAACTCTTTTCATTGTTAACCTGGTCTCTAGTCTCTAATGGGGTAGCTTTTATAAGGAATTGGATTGCTTGGGGGGCTTTCTCAAAACCTCTCACTTGAGAGTTTGAGCAGATTGTCTAAAATTGACACATGCTGACACAGACCTGTCCTTTAGAAACTGAAGACCCTGCTCTCTGGGCGGGAGGCTGAGCTCAATTACTTCTACTGTCCCTTCCAATCCTAAAATTTCATGTTTTTTAGTCTGGGGTCCATGCCTACTCTTTAGGGAGTGGAAATAATATGATATTTTTTCCTATCTTGAGTTAGGGAGTCCAAAAAGCAATTGTTCTGCAGGGAACGAGCTCCCATGGTAGAAGGTAAATAAAGGAAAGAAGGAAAATGACCTTTTCTAGAAGTAGAGAAATTCCTTTCGAGCTCAGACAGGGCAGACACTGTTTCAGCCTCTCTCAGCCTGGGTTCTGTGAGAGAATCAAGTCCTACAGCAAAGAATTTGATTGACTGTTTCCTCAGTTCTCCCAAGGACAGCATCATTCAAGATGCCTGGGAGAGAAGTCCATCCATTGCATTCAGTGGATGCCTTAAGGGATTAGGGTTTAATTCTCAACCGGAGCCCAGCAAGAGCTAAAAGATGAATTTGTGACATCCCAATCAACGTCACAATTGAAAACATACTTCGACTATGTACGTGTTGCTCCTTATATATCTTCCATTTAGAGCTCTAACATATTAATCCTATTAACAAATTTATGAAAACAAAACTCATGTTTCTCTAAAATATTAACTGTGATTAACCCTGTTTTTTATAGTATGCCATATTTTTATGTTTTCCACAATGAGCATACGTTGTTTTTAGAATCATAAAAAACCCACAAAAAAGGTAAAATATCTTCATATATTTCCTTAAGCATTATGATAGCTGTTTAAACATTGCATAGGCCGAGCCCCTTCCCCTCAGTTCTGCAAAATGCCTTGGCATGACCTTGAGGTTTTTCCCTTCTCCCTTTAATTGTAAACATTACAGAAGATAAGAAAGGTACAGTGGGGTCTCTTGGGAAAAGCAAGAGACAGCCTCATTGCCACAGAGAGGGGAGCACAGACTCCAAATTATTAGGGCAACCTAGAAGCTTCATTTGGAGGAATTGGTTTAACAGCCATTTCGACTAATACTATACCCTTTAACAAGAAAGCAAAAATACCTTCTCAGATAAACTTAGGAAAGTTATAATGAATTCAGTTCAATTGCAGACTATACCCCAAAGGAAATTCAATTTACTAACCATATAAATTGGCCACACCAAATTAAATAGTCACTCCAGCCTAATATCACTGTGATTGTTACCACAACTTTCTCTGCGAAAAAAAGTAGTGGTGCTTTTTCACTGCTTAGGGCAATGTTGAAGTGGAAATCCTCCTTTCTGGCTCCATCCTTTGCTTTGCTTCTTTCATGAGTTTGAGTCCCGGATTTAAATGGGCTTGACAATGAGGACCTGAGGTTTCTGACACTGCCAGAGTCTTGTTGATTTCTGGTCCCAGGTGTGGTAGGTGATATACAGCACTTGCTGTTGGCATTCGGTTTGCTCCTATGTTCAGCAAAGTAAAAACATAAGCCTGACCTTTTTAGATAGAAAGAGAAAGAGAAGCAGAAGAAATATGTACTCTTCTAGCTGTCCCCAAGGCCAAAAGCAGAAATTCTCATATAATGGAAAGCTCAGCAAGTGCCAAGATTGGAATTTTGCAGGTTGATGACGCAAATAGCCGAGGGCAGAGACTGGGACCTCTTTTCAGATTATATCTCAAAAGATTTTTCAGAGTCATATGAGTGCAGCTGAGCTGCAAGAAAATAATACCACATGAAACCCACAAAAGGGCCTCCTAGCTGCCCTTTAGCCTCCCAACTGAAGATTCTAATCTTCCGTCTTTCGTATTTTCTAAATGATGTTAACTGGTGGGCTGCTAAAAGGCTATTAGTATGGTTGGTGTCACTTGTCTGTCCTGTACTGTGAATGTCAGTACACGCTATAGTCAATTAAGAGCTTGGTGAATAAGAATTTTAAGAAACACTAATAAAAATATTCCATCAATTATGTGTGCTTCATTTAATACAGAGTTGCTTAAAATAAAATTTCCCAAACATATGTTCATTGTGGATTGCAGTAGGCAGGGAGCAGTGGTTTTATTTATGCATTTTAAGTCTTACTCTCACTGGGGAACCAGAGAAATGAGAAATTAGTTGCAGTGAGCTCCTTAGAGCATCTCTCTGTTGCTTACAGGCTACAACCCATTTGCCCCATCGAAGGCCGGTTCGGAGCCCGTGGTCAGGCTGAATTCCCCCTGCGCGCCCTGCAGTTTAAGCGTGGCTTGCTGCACGAGTTTCGGAAGGGCAACTCTTCCAAGGAGCAGGTACGCCTTCATGACCTGGTCCAGCAGCTCCCCAAGGCCATTATCATCGGGGTGAGGAAAGGAGGCACCAGGGCCCTGCTTGAGATGCTGAACCTCCATCCGGCAGTGGTCAAAGCCTCTCAAGAAATCCACTTTTTTGACAATGATGAGAATTATGCCAAGGGTATTGAGTGGTATAGGAAAAAGATGCCTTTTTCCTACCCTCAGCAAATCACAATTGAAAAGAGCCCAGCATATTTTATCACGGAGGAAGTTCCAGAAAGGATTTACAAAATGAACTCGTCTATCAAGTTGTTGATCATTGTCAGGGAGCCAACCACAAGAGCTATTTCTGATTACACTCAGGTGCTAGAGGGGAAGGAGAGGAAGAATAAAACCTATTACAAGTTTGAGAAGCTGGCTATAGACCCTAATACCTGTGAAGTGAACACAAAGTACAAGGCAGTAAGAACCAGCGTCTACACCAAACATCTGGAACGGTGGTTGAAGTACTTTCCAATTGAGCAATTTCACATCGTCGATGGAGATCGCCTCATCACGGAACCCCTGCCAGAACTTCAACTGGTGGAGAAGTTCCTAAATCTTCCCCCGAGGATAAGTCAATACAATTTGTATTTCAATGCTACCAGAGGGTTTTACTGCTTGCGATTTAACATTATCTTTAATAAGTGCCTGGCGGGCAGCAAGGGGCGCATTCATCCAGAGGTGGACCCCTCTGTCATTACCAAATTGCGCAAATTCTTTCACCCTTTCAATCAAAAATTTTACCAGATCACTGGGAGGACATTGAACTGGCCCTAAAATAATGTCATACAACACTATGTGTTGTGCCTGGGGACACACAATGTCTCGTCTGGATTAAAATATGCACTTTTCCTATAGACACAACTGTCCAAGTCATTTTTCCATGTATACTTGTACATACGCAGTGTGTGACCAAATATAAGATCAGCTCTTTTTCTACTGAAAATTTACAAAAACAAAAACAAAAAACAAACCAATTTGCTGTCTACATAGTTGCATCTTTTATGCTATTTACAAAAAGAAGAGGTGGTGGTACTGGGGGAAAGTGACTTCAGCTATTCTCAAAGAGTTAGTCTTCCTTTGAGTCAGAATTTGTCGCCTGCCATTTTCATAGATTTAAGCCAAAAGATTAACATGTGAAAATGTACCAATGGCTGTGAAGTTTCAGGAAGTAGAGGATTCGGTTATGCATTCTTTTCTAAGGGAAAGCTGACTCTTTAATTCAGATGCTGAATTGATGCCATGAAAACAGAAAATACTATTTTCTTATTATTTAAAAAAATGTCTTATCTCATAAAATTGACATCGTTCCAAAGTTCCTGTGGTGATTTTGCACTATCGTTTTCTCATATGGACCATGGTGTCACTTGTAGCATGTCAGTCACACATCGGAAAGTCAAGTCCTTTTACTTCCGTGTTCTATGTCAACAAAGAGAAATGTCCTGTACATAGTGTATATAGTTGTAAATACTGGTTTCACACTAATTCTATTTTGTAAACTGAATATGGCTATTTAATTTATTGTGAACATTAAATTTATTGTGGTATTTAAAAAATGGAATGGATTAAAATTACTCTATGTGCAATTTTTTTTTTACTCATTTTGTTTTATGTGCCCCTTGCTGGCTCCCAAAGTCAAAGCTGTTTATGTGCACATGAGAGCACTTGGAAAGATGCACTTCTCCGTTGGATTTCTGTACCCTTGTGATATGAAGCAAGGTTGGATATATTTTTTAAAAATATCTCAACCATCTGGAAATCTAGTATAACAGCCACCTCAAAGAGCACTTGTGCTTCTCTGCTACAACCTTGTAACAATTAACTTACTTGCAGTTGCTCCTGGTGCTAGGAGACAGACAAGAAATACTTTAATATAATCAAGGCATAGAAGAATCACAGTTTTATACGAACCTCTAATCAAAGTCAGACCAATAGAGAAATTAAATAAGATTAGAAAATTTGTGTAGCCTCTGTACTGAAAGCTGCTGATGCTTCCGCAAACTCTCAGAACTCCCTCTTTGAGATGAAACTACATCAGCCTGCTCAGGAATGATCAAATTACGGAGTGTTGCTATTACTAACATAAACATATGGCTCAGATTTCCATCCAGAGAAATTAATGCTAAATTGGGTGCTTGCTAACATCAGATAGCCTGTACTGTTCTGCATTTATAGATGCTTAAATATAGTTTGGAAAACCTTGGAAAGAGGTATCAACAGAAAAAATAATAATAATAATAAGATGGATTTTTCACAATCATGGTTGCTTATCCAGTGGAAGATGTTTAAGCGAGTTTTGTTCACATTGAGAGTGCCTAGCAAATAACAGTGGATTCCCTTTTGATTGTACTAAGTGTTGATTTTCTCCATGAGTTGTTCATCCTGTCCAGTGATTGATGGTGAACTTTTCTAAATAAATAGCCCTTTGCCCTTCATTGTCGGTATATGTTGCTTCTCAAGCTTCAGCCTTGGTAATCATCTCTACCGTTTCAATTAGCATTGGTGCTGTTTTCTCAGCATGGAACAGGCATGACACCAGCACATGCTTAGAGGCCAGCTTCTCACTGACTGCACAGTGAGTCTGGAGTGAGAGTCTTGGGTCTAAATGTCAATCACTCTCATCTAAGCCGTGAAGGAAATCAAACATAAGGAACTTAGCATCAGACTTCTCTATGCCTCAACTCTCAGCTAACCGTCAGAGTAAACTGATTGAATACTACACTCAAGGACATAATCAACACATTATCATTAATTTTATTATAAATCTTCCTAGAGCACTCTACAGCTAATACAGTTTTATACCAGTAACTGTCAAAGTATGCTCGACTGGAACACTGACGTTTCAAAAACTCAGCCTAGGTATTCCACCAGTAAAACTGAAAAATAGCAATCTTTTCCTAGACTCATAGAGAAATTTTTAAAAGTAATGAATAGAAATGTTTCAGTGATAATCTTTTATAGTCCAAATTTTTCTTCAACTTTGCTGCTGCTACCAAGAGTATATATCAGAGTTGATTCTAAGATTCTATTTGACTTGTGCTGTCTTTTATAATTTGTTGCTTTTAGCTCAGTAAGCAAGTATTTCTTCATCACATGCAGAAAAAAAAAAGTGTTGCAGTTTCCAGTTGTTAAATAAGTTTGAGAGTTGTTTTAGACCTTGGGGCCTCCTCACAGATACCTAAAACAGGACGCCTGGCCTAGGAGGATGTTTTTAGAGGCAGGTTTCATTTCACTGAAAAAAAAACAAACATAAAACAAAACAAAAAAACAGTCACAGCCACTGCTGATTGAACTAGGTAGAAATAAAAATGCTACGACCTTAATAGCACACTCCACTGGAGGTTTCAAACCTCCTTGTTTAGAAAATGTTTCCTGTTGTCATCAGACAGGTAACCGACCTCTAGAGGAATCTACAGCTCATCACAATAGATCCACTAGGATTCTCTTTAGTAAGTTATTCCTTTTACATCATGAAAACTTTGCATTTCTTCCAGAGGCTTGGTGGCACCATACGGTTTTGTGAAACAGTTCCAGCTGCAAAGAGTAAAAAACTGTTTAAGCAACGGTGAGGTTTCTGCTGGATTGTAAAGCTGAAACGACACCATTTTGGAAGCCAGGGAATTCCAATTATAATTGTACAAACAGGAACAGGAGTCCCAAGGGAGTGAGAGAGAGTAGGGAACAGAGAGAAAAGGAGACATGCAAACCCATAGACAGGCATCATATTCCAAGCCCATCTTGTAGTCACCTGAAATCACCCCACAAAAACCTTCAACTGATGAAGGTATTAATTTTTCCCACTAATTACACTGTAGTATAGGAAAAAATCTAAGACATCAGGGTCTTTAGGTGATGTGTGATAAAGCAAAGGCATGTAAATCCATTGTAATCACATCTGATCTTAGATTTGGTACCTGTTATGTTGATGGACCAGCAATTGCCAGAACAGTTTCCACTAAAGCTGATGGAGCCTTGTGAGAGCACTGCTTGGGGTGCTGCCCCTGGAACAAGGGCCCTGCTGGAGGACAAGCTCCAGGACCGGTGAAAAACTCCTGGGATGTGCTAAGGGAAGGTAAGAACCAAGGACAAGTGCAGCCCCAAATCCAGTCCTACCAATGAGCTTGTGCTTTGTCCATTTATCAGTCTGCTAAATTGGATTGTCTTCATAAGCTTAATTTGAGAATTTTCCATGGATGGAAAATTTCAAATGATCGTAAATCGTGTCTGCCTGCTGAAGCCTTTTGTACTCTTTTCACACACTCAGCAGCCATTTTCCACTTATGAAAACAGACACAGTCTAAGCAGAAAAGAAAACTTTGCTGAAAACATTCCCTCTAAAAATGACTAAATACAGCAAAATCTTAGCAATTCAGGCTAACAAGGTGAAAATATTTTAAAGCAAATTCATTGCAATTATTCCCAAGTAGGCAAAGTACCAAACTATACTAACGAGTGCATTGATAAATAAATATCTAATTGCACCAGCTTTACAAAATAAAAGCCTCTTAATTGGCATATTGTTTTCCTAAATGGGTGTTACTTCAAGTATTTCAAAACAGTCTGTCCTCTTAAGTAGGTTACTCAGGCCCCCTAGTATCTGTTTATGAATTTTTATAGCAAACTTTTCTTTTACAGCTAGTGCAAGGATGAAATTTAGTCCGAAATATGATCATTTGGTAAGGTCCTAATAAATTATACCTTATGATACATCTTACAAGAACAATTTCTTTATGTTTTATGCTTTTAAAGATTTATTTCCAATTACATTTTATCGTAACTTTAAGGAATAAGAGTGCTATTTCATAATGATTAGAAGTGGATTGGTGCATTGAAAAGGCAGAACTGAACTGAGAGCAATATGCATTTCCCACAGAAAGCACCTGATTGGTATTCCAAGAACAAGTGTCTGTTATTTAGAGTCAGCTCAGTCGAAAAGCAATAGCCTTTCAATCATATCAAGGAGGCAGCAGCATGCTTGGTACCTCATCGGGCTAGTTCCATCACGTCTGAATTTGTGAACCATATCAGTCTACCAGGTCTTGGGGAGCTGTTGGTGAAAGGGTTTATTGTTTCTAAACATACATGTCATTCCCCTTTAAAAACAGTCCACCAAGAAGGTGAGTTGCTCCCAGAAGATTGGTAACATCATTTCAAAGAGCTGGCTCACCTCCAACCTTTCTAAATGCGCACAGCTTTGCTTTACATTACCTTTTCTTTAAAGGCACCAGAGAACAATCTTTAAGACCAACTGCAAAACTGCCTGTTTCTTTGGTAAGGCCACGTGGATGGCATCCTCCATCTCTGGCTCATTTTTTCCAGGAATGAGGCAAAGGTGTCCTTTCAAAGACAGTTCTCTGGGTATGCTGACCATGGAAGAGTCATACTCTCTCCTTGCCACCAAGCTTCTGGCTATAGGTCCACCCATCCTGAGACTTATATCAGGAGATACAGGAAAAAGAAGGAAACTGAACACAACATTCTCCTGTAAGTACTGTAACGTTTTCAAAAGTGTTTAGGAAATAGATTTGTTTCATTGAACACAAAGGAAATATAAGCTAAATGTAAGTGAAATGGGCAAGTCAGTTCATCTCTTTGGGCTTGAGCTTTCTATTAAATAAAATAGGAGCATCAGATTAGGGGATGTTTAAGCTCTTTCAAGATAACATCATACCATCAGATGAAAACGATTACTGGAGCATGCTTTTGACAGTGAATGTCACGGAGTTGAGGGCATGAAGGCGGAGAGGAAAGAGGGGTTAGACTCAATGTACTTAGCTGTTCCTGTGCGTAGAATCTCTCCCAAAAGTTTCATATCTATGGTTTTTCTTTAAGGGATATTCTTTTTCACTTTTCCCTTGTAACTGAATTTTCTTTCTATTCAACCTTATTCTTGGCTTTGGCTTCCATTTTGCCTGTCACTTCCTGCATTAATTAACTTTTGTTGTATAACAGACCACCCTCAAAACATCCTGATTAGCTCAGGATTCTGTTTCTTATCTGGGCAGTCCTTCTGGTCTGGCCCAGCTGGGCTCCACACTGCTGGCCTTCCTCATGCACCTGTGGTTTCTGGCAGGTCATCTGGTGACTGGATGATCTAAGGTGATCACTCTTAAATGTTGGTGGCTTGTGCAGTTGATCGATTGGTGCTACTTGCCAATACTGACTATTGGCTCAATGACAAAGGTGCCTGGGTTACATGTGTCTCACCTCTTAGTAGACTCACTCGGGTGTCTTCATGGTAGTCAGAGGGGTGTAAAGAATAGCAAGAGATGGCAAATCCCAACACGCAAGCATTCTTCAAGCACCTGTTTGCATCCTGTTTGTTATTTCTCATTGGCCAGAGTATGCCACATGGTCAAGCCCATAGTCAGCGTGAGAGGGGATGACACAAAAGTGTGTATAGGACAGAAAATTATCGTGGCCATTTCTGCAAATATGGACCACATCTCTCAACCGTGATTCTATCACAGTGAAAGTTATAACAATTATAGTAATAATTCACAAAACAACTTTATCTTCCTCCATTCCTGAAGAAACATAATGATAATAAGAAGGGTGATAGGCAGAATAACGCCCTCCTTCCAAAGACATATACATCCTAACCTCAGGAACCTGTGAATATGTTACCTTACATGGCAGAAGGGACTTTGTAGATGTGATGAAGTGAAGGACTTCGAGATGGGGAGAGCTTCCTGGATTATCTGGGTGGGCCCAATGTAACCACAGGGTCCTTAAAGGTAGGAGAGAGAAAGAGAAAAGGGGACAGTCAGAGAGATGATGATAATGGAAAAATGGGTTTAGACTTTGGGGACCTTCAGAGAGATGCAGCATTGCTGGCTTTGAAGATGGAGAGAGGTGGCCACAAGCCAAGGAATATAGGCAACTTTAAGAAGCTGGAAAAAGCAAGGAAATAGTTTTCCCTAGATCCTCCGGAAGGAAACATAGCCCTGCCAACACCTTAATTTTAGCCCAGGGAAACTTGTGTTGGACTTTTAAATGTACAGAAATGTGAAAGAATAAGTTTTTGTTGTTTTAAGCCGCTAAGTTTGTGGTAAGTTGTTCTAGGAGCCTTAGAAAATGAGTGCAAGAAATCAGGGGAAACAGAGCACTCAGCAAATGCTGGTGTGTTTAATTAGCTTATTCTCCTCCAGCATCACAGGGTGAGGGAGCAATAGCCGTCAGTCACAAAGGGCATTTCCAAACAAAGCAAGCAGAAGTCCTGAAGCATAGGACCTGAAGGGTAGCGCCCCTGCAAGTTCCCAAAGGTGAATGCAGGCAGAGTGACCCTCAAGGAGATAATTCCCTGGTCATTGAAACACAGAGCAAGTCTCATTTCTTCTGGGACACCTCCACTGAAGCCCAACAGGTAAGAAACAGTTTAATGGTAAATTGCAGATAACTTTACGGCAAGGTCTAGATTATGTGACATTTAAAAGTATCTTTA